CATCAGTTCCATCAACATTTTCACATATTTTTATATTTTACATTTACAGTTATATTTGCATCAAACATTTTTAAATGAAAAAGTGGGTTGTAAAAAGAAAATTAATAAATAGTTATGACTAATTTAAATATATTTTTAATTAATGCAAACAATTCGTAAACATACTGTATGCGCTGCTTATAGACACCAGACAGATAATGATTTATGCAACAGATGCTCATTTTCACAAAACAGGTATTTATAAAAACATAGGGAAATACACACACCAATCTTTTAATAAATGCAAATTCTATAATTAAATTACGTTAAATGTACAGATACAATTATAAATAAGATTACCAAACGAAGTTAATAAAACATACATTGAGTCCATAATGCAGAAATCTCTGAGCGTCTCTTTGACAGTCGCAAATCTCATGATTTTATCAGATCTTATAGAGTTGTTCTAAGCACAAGGAGAATGTACAAGTCATGTCCACAGCAGTCAGAACCAAATCAAGTCTTTTGAGTGGTTTGTGTTTGAATGAAGAGATCCCCGTGGATTTTTTGACTAACCACTGACGCTGAACCGCATAATCAACAGAAGAAAGAAAGAAGGAATCTCCAAGCTGTCTCTTGATGAATTTCCACACAGAGGTACGCAATAATATAAGGAGGATGTTTTGTCTTTGATATACCACTATGCGCTATTTCATTTGAAAAACATTAATTATACATATCTAGCTAAGTTTCCCCTTACAGTAAATGGGAACGTCGCAAAGACCGGAAGTAAGCATGCGCACACTCGCGTCGCCGAAGCTCACCGACGCCATCTTGTGCACCTAGCCAATTAACAGAGGTTTAGATGTTGACGTTTTATGGAAAATAACATTCATTTAAAGTTACCATAATAGCAATTAGTGTCACCTTTAGTTGGGCTCTTGACTCTTGATGACTTATTACTTTTTTTCTGTTTGCTACGACTTTGTGTTTATGGAGCACATTTGTTATGACAAAGCAAGGCAAAGAAACATGTGATCGGGTGATTTTGTTTAACTGCTGGTGATAAAATCATGTGAGTCACTGAGCTCTTCCACTGTCTAATCTCTAATTATAGAGAATATGTGTCATTATTGATTATAGTATTCCTGCGATTCTTCAGCATTGTTGTGACAATCAGTTATAATGAAGGATTTCAAAAAAACTTTTTGTACACAAAACATTTTGCAAACACACAGGCATCAATAATCACCGTATGAATCTTAACAATGGTGACAATCAACAAGAATGGTGCATTCAAGTCATGTCGGATAGATCATATTTACGAGTTGAACGCACATGAATGCCACCACAAAGTCGTTTTTACGAGTGGGAAACTCAATTTTCTTTAAGCTCAAGAGTTTCTGAGTTGGGGGCGTGCGTGTCAGTAGGAAAACATGTCGGATGCAATGGATGCAGCTAAAGACTAGAGATATGCAGCGTCTGTATTGACGGTAAATTTGTTGAAATGAATAAAATATTATATTATTGTATAATTACCATAGTATATATGATGTTTCTGTTTACATCACCGTCATAAATTGAATAAAAACAGAAACACAATGACGCACATTCTTTATTCATCATTTTGTTAATGTAGAGTTAAAAAAAATTGTTGAATTTTGTTGAAAAGTTAAATCGCCATCTTGTTTCCCGACCAAAGTGACTTGAACGCATCTGACATCGTAAATATGGCTTTTCAACTCGTAAATACGAACTTCCTAGGAGGACTTGAATGCAGCAAAAGTTCCATGCTGCAAAGCATGCTGGGCATCATCATAGTACAAACTCCCAGAATGCATTGCAGTGTGAAAAAATGTGCTGAATGGTCTTACTATTTTCTTAGATTTTATTGTTTGCTGTTGTTTTTGTTGTGACTTTATAAGTGTTCTGTTTTGTGATGTTCAGAGTTTATGTTAACTTTTGTTGATTGTCTCCATTGTTAAGATTCACATGCTGATTGTTGATGTCTTGTGTGTGTCGAAATTGTGCAGTAGTTTGAAACTTCTTTTTGCACATAATGTGTTTAAAATCTCTTCAAAACTAATTGCTGTTGGATCTCTTGCTGAAGAATCACAGTAGTGATTCGGCAAGGCAAGGCAAGTTTATTTATATAGCACATTTCATACACCTCCGGAATGTAAGCTGCTGGCAGTGGGAGGCAAAAGTTTTCTTTTTCGTGGTATTATTCCAGTCCCAAAGAGTTTTTAGTTTTAGTGTTTGTGCCAAAAATATGTTGTTTGAGCACTGTGCTGATCTGCTGAAGTAAAAATCCGAGAAAAGTACAGAAATAGGAAGCAAAGCGCAGAGCAGTAAGCAAGAACGTCCGAACGGTAGCGAAGCCAGAAGCTTTCTCCTTTAATACATATTAATACATATTCTGTTAATTATACACTTTTGGTAAGAAGTTAAACACTTCATGCACTTTATGATATTATGTCAGCATTAATATATAACCATCAATACCTGTGCACATTTTCTTACCTTTTTTGTTATGCAAACACGCTTCATAAATGCTCAGATAAAGAGCCCAAAGAAAGCAAACACTGATCTCCTTGATAGTGTTTTCAAATTAAATATTTTCAATAAAACATCAACATTCAAACCTCTGTAATTATAGAAGAAAAATAATGACATATGTCTTTGAAACAAAAAGGCATGTTGAATTGCACTAACTGAAAAAAATTATGCATTGCATTACCAGTGCTTGCATTTGAATGCTTTGTGTTTTCAGGGTTTGCATTTTTTAGGCCTGAAATTCAACATAGTTGTTTATTTAAGAATTGAATATTTCAATTCAGAACATTTCACACCAGTGGCATAGCAAATCATCCGCAGGCCCATATGCAAAAACATTTGTACGGCCCCCCCAACGTTATAGGTTAATGTGCGCTCCAACACTCCTTATTGTTGTCTTTTCTGAAGTAAATAACATTACAGGACTATTCACAAGCTGTTTTATTGACAGTGTAAATGCTTGGAAATAATATTTAACATTTTTAAATGTATTTAAAGTATATTCTTTATTTGTACCATGCCAGTCACCCAATAATTTTGTTGCTTTTAATATAACACAAATCCTTTCAATTCTGTCAATTTTTAGCATGAAAAAAATGTTTCATTCAAAAGTTTCATGACACCTATTCACAAAGCTGCTAAGACCAACTTTTACTAAGGAACTGGGAGAAATCTTAAGCTAAGAGAAAGGGCGGGGTTGACCTCGTTGCTATGGATGATGTCATCAAGCTTGCTAACTATGCCCACAGTGATTGGCTGAGAGGGGATTGGTCTCTGTCAGCCATTTAATCATAAAAAGTTTAGAACGAGGTAAATGTTTGCCTATCATTCATCAACCTTAAATAAGGCTTATCATTTGAAAATTAAAACATGTAAGTTGTAGCAGCTTTACACGGCCGCTCACTCTAACATTAACCTAGATGAATGTGTGCTTTTAGGCGCATATCCAAGTGTTTTTGCGGAGTGTGGAAGCTGTTAGCGCACAGAGGTGCCAGCGCAATCACTGACATATTTTCCTGATAACTGTGGAAACAACATAAAATCTGCCGTCATGTTTGCTCATACAGATAAGAGTAATCATTTGAAACTGTAAAGGGTCTACTTTTATTTGTGTGCACTCACAATATCAACAAAATGTTGTGCTTTTGTAAAATAAATAAAACAATAAGGATGCGCTTTCTGCCGTCTGGGTCGCCGTGAACTTGAGCGCGGCACAAAAATTAAACACAGCGTATAGGCTACCAATTCTACAGTGCCCGTAAGGTGACATGTTCGGTTCACTTAGTTTTGTCGTGGCCACAACATAACTCGTGGGAACGGTTCCCACGAGTTATTATGTCGTGGCCACGACAAAACTAAGTGAACCGAACATGTCACCTTACGGGCACCGTACAATTCAAATCGAAAACAAAAATTCAATGAATATGTAATCTGTATTAAAATTGCATTTCTCTCTAAAGGCGTGTCACTGTTCTGCGAAGATGGCGAGTCAGCATAATCAGCTTCATCTTTGCAGCCGACACTAACTTAGAAAACACTAGTTTAATAATAGATAATTAAAAGGCAGCGGCTATTTGCACTGATTTTAATTTTAATTCAAATTATTAAATGGATGCCACCTTATTGGCATAATAAAGCCCTCCCTACACCTACCCTAACCCAATACTTTATTTTCAACTTTTTGATTATTTTCTTCATTTTCATTAAACTGTTGTAATGTACAAAATAAATGCTTTTCTTATGTGATTTGAAATTTGAAAAGGAAGAAAAAAGTTTGCCAAAAGGCGGATTCGAACCCGGGTCGATCGTGTCAAAATGACTAAGCCACACGTTTTACCATCTGCGCAGTCTTTTGTAATCTTGACTAGCCGAATCACACGTTGGTGGGCGGAGTTAGTGTAAATAGCCTCTGCCAACAAGGCAGGCTATTTGCACTTAGTGTAAATAGACACTCCGTAATTAAAATATCTCCTTACTGTTTTTTCCCCCGACAAATTCATGGTCAATCCCTTTGCCAGTGCTTTGCTGCAAGCTTTATGAGTGAGCTTGAGCATGGAATAGGCTATGAAAGCTCATTATAGTTTACTTCTTGCCCAACTTGTACATGAAAAGAAGGACATCATTCTTTTAAAGGGAAATTATCATGAAATGTTTCTAAAATGTTTATGTTTGGAGGTAATTGCCGGCAACAGCCATTTTAGGATGGTTTGTGATTCTGTCTTTGTGACTTAGGAGTCCTCTTGAGTACCCCTAACTTTTCACAGATTTAGGAGCTGATTTTAGCTTAAAAACGCTCTGAGAAATACTCTTAGAGCAAAAATGTAGGAGTCCTAAAATTAGGACTGACACACCCATTATTTTTAAGAGTTTCTCCTAAATCGGCAAGTTAGGAGCTACCTTTACCCTTATGATGTTTTGTGAATATGGCCCCTGAAATATTTCTCTCTTTTTCTTGGCATCATCAGCAGGAAGAGAAAGAGAGCAGCTTCTCCACTGCAGCCCCCTGATCTCAGTGATGGATCAGTGGCCTTTGACACTGTGTGAGTATATTCATATAGAGTGAGACATTCAACACAAGAACACTCAATGCATATTTTTAGTATATTTTTAGTTTATTTCTGCAATAAAATTATTTAGATAAAAAAAGGAAATTGTATATAGTAACAATATAGTGCTATCCAGTAACTGCACTCAGACCCATGACTCGTTTAGGTTATGATCAGATCAAAACGGTTATTTTTGAATAATCGACTCTGGGCTTAATATTTCTTTATTTGAATGACTGAAGTTTGATTTAACAACAAATGGAAATACGAACAAAAAGAAACAAAGAGATTTTCTAATAATAATAATAATATCTAATAGGCTAATAATAATAATAATAATAATAATAATTATTATTATTATTATTATTTCGTTCTGTTTGAAAACGGGCAAACTAAAATTAAGCTAGATTTTTTTGTAGGCCTATTTTTGTTCATGGGTAAACAAATGAACTTATGATTTAATATTTGTTTCACATGCGTGGGCAGTTTTGATACTTTAGTCTGATTATATATTAATTATGTATTAGTGATTATATATTATTAAATGATATCTTTAGCTGAATCAAGCTGCACATCGCATCGCGTT